ATTTCGAAGAAAAGTAATGCAATGTGAACGATGTCAGGGCAAAAAACGCAACTCCCTAGGGTTTTTCATGTTTTTTTTTTCCCGCCTTCATAGCATAAATTGTGAAATGTTCTCTGATCAATCGATAGAGACGAGTCTCTGGATTGCAGGGACAAATTTATTTATTATTCGCGATTTCCGTATGGGTTTCCATGGAATGTTCATTCAAAGCGGACCGTTCCTGGTAGGACCACTGCCTCCGGGCTCTTATGCCTCCTTGGGTGTTTGTGGGGAAAATCACCTCAAATTTCGTATATATCGGCATAAATGATACTACGCCTGACGCATCATGATTTCTTCCCATATCCTCTGGGAAAATTCGCATTCTAGCCATATGGTCATGGGTCAGGATTTTGGTGGGTCACTCCAGAGACTCACATTCACATCTCTCTTTGAAAAATGTTGATATTGATTTCATTTTCTTTCTCGGAATTTCTAAATATTGCTGTAAAGTTATTGACGTTGCTCTGATGGATTTTTAGAGCGGAATGCATTTTGCGTAACTTTCGTCTCGTTGAACCTGGCTTATCTCATCCCTAAATCTGTCATTCCTGATTTATCGAGAAAGACACAAATGAATAACTTGGACGTTGCCTCCAATTTTATCTCCCCGCGTTCAGATTTTGAAGGTAATTCTTGGGAGGCATTTGAAAATTAGCGCGAATATATTTTAAAATTCCTGATTTATCGAGAAAGACACAAATGAATAACGTGGACGTTGCCTCCAATTTTATCTCCCCGCGTTCAGATTTTGAAGGTAATTCTTGGGAGGCATTTGAAAATTAGCGCGAATATATTTTAATTTGTAGTTATTTGGAACTTCGGAACCAAGTATCTTGAGAATGAGGATTTAAGTTTTTCTAAGTAGATCTTTCGAGACGGCCGTGAAAAATGGCTCTGCCGAATCATAGCGAATTTGAATAACGTGGACGTTGCCTCCAATTTTATCTCCCCGCGTTCAGATTTTGAAGGTAATTCTTGGGAGGCATTTGAAAATTAGCGTGAATATATTTTAATTTGTAGTTATTTGGAACTTCGGAACCAAGTATCTTCAGAATGAGGATTTAAGTTTTTATAAGTAAATCTTTCGAGATGGCCCTGAAAAATGGCTCTGCCGAATTATAGCGAATTTGCTGTTTTATCCTCAGACCAATAACGATTTCACTGAGGGCATGTCGAAATCATGCAGCAATCGGCCGCAATTCTCCTGCATCCCTTCTTCCTCGCCTCATTCTGATTTTCAGGACGCTTCCCTGCCAGGTCAAGTTTTGAAAGTTGATAACAACGAGAAGTAGCTTGGGGTAAGATCGGATCAATAGAGAAGGGGGTGGGGGTTGCATCACCTCATGTCCATCACTGGTGATTGAAAAATCTTCCGACCTGTCAATTGGGCTATTGCCAGGCAGAAACTTTAACCCTCCTCATAAAGACTTTGCCCCTCTCTCCCTGGTAACCTATTCAACTTCTCATAATATTATTCTAACCTAGAATCGCCCTGCAATAGGTATCCCTTTTGGTGCTGGAACGTGAATTATTAGACATTTTAGAGATGAAAAGAGAAAGCCATGAAGCACCTCACACATCATCTTCTGACATCTCTGAGTGACTGGTCGTGAATCAATTCCAGTCATATTTACTTCCTTCCTAACGAGTTCTCTGGCCTAAAAAACTAAAACCAGGTTCCACCATCAGTAATAACGTTGCTTCGAATACTTTGAATCTGTATTTTCAACTTGAGTGATGTTTTCACTACAAAATTTCCCTCCGTTCCCGTTCCTATGCATCTGTGAGCATGTGGCATACACAAATCTTCATCATTCAGAGGTTGGGGTGGTGAATGGTCTCGGCAGGCCCCATCGAGATGGCCACACTATTAGCTGTCTCATGCACCTCAACACATACATCCTCTTCAACTATGGCCTCGAGAAGAGAGCACAATTCCTTGGGATCGTACGGTGGGAGAATGTCTTGACGTGCGGTCGCTTTCTAGGCTCCTCATTCCTTTTCTGGAGCGAGCAGCCCACCGGCAGTTAGTGGTTATCTCAGGGACAGAGTCCTAACACAAGTTCAAGAAGTCACCAAGAACAGACTTCGGTATACATTCAAGGAGTGTGCCAAGTATCATGTCTGTTCATATCATGTCACCTGCACCAGCTACTCTGTAGTAGCAGAGCTCAGTGGGTATAACTGGGTCCAATAAAAATGTTCCTTCCCCGTGATTTGATACGCAGAAAAAGGAGGAAATCATATCAAATTAAAGCTCACATTCCATTCTTCATGAACAATCACCTCACTTTCCTGTAGTCAGTAATTACAGAAAGCAGGAGATAGCACTTTTTGAACACTCCTTGTATATATTCACATTTCTCTTTTAATAAATGTTATCTGTCCTACTGATTTCGAGGAAATTAAAAGGAAAGTCGTGTTGAAAATGGATGGATGCCGATTGAATAGGGAAGAGTATAGAAAAACTGTCGTTTTGATGGATGTGTAGAGTAACCTCGTCGTACGTGCTTGGCTAGATCAGTATTTCTCTGGGAGATGAATATGTCGGCGTGAAATTCATCCGGTTTCCTGTTCATCAGATCTAACACCATTGAGTTTATTTTTATGGGAACATTTAAAAACATATGTTTATCGCATCAGACAAGCAAACTTACTTTATTTGGAGAACCGTATCGTAGGAGAAATTTGAAAAATGACTCCAGAGACCTGTCAAAGGGAAAGTGCAAGCCTAATTGAAGCGCTAGGTTCGTTGCCTTGACGTCAACGGTGGGCAAGTGGAAGAAATTGTTATTGTGCTAGTGATAAGCCCTTCATTTTTTTTATTATATCCGAAATGAAGCCTTTTGCTAAAATTACTTGACTAATTAATATCTCCTTTGGGTTTAAAAGTAAAGTTGTTTTAACTTTCATATTACTTCTGAAAGCCAACCAAATTTCAGAGCATCCCAGTGGCAAAATATAAAATTTTAGCATTGTATTGTTACTTTTGGGAACCTCAATAAAGCTTGATTAAAAAAAAAAAGACCCTTTGTTTTCTGAGTGTAAGAAAGAGTGGCTTCGCATATGCGATCAGATAAAAGCTAGGTAGGCGATCGACATTGAAAGACTAAGAGACGTTACTAGGCTTTTACCAGTACCCTTGCCTGAGCCTTCTCGCTCGTATCAAATTTCCAGTGCTTCCCTCATCATTTTAAGAGACCATCTCTGGGGCCATTTGAATATCCTTTATTTGCAGGCCTCCAAATATGAACGCGATGCTAAATATGGCCTTAACCCTTGTCGGTCCGAGGAGACAGCATCTGTCTCCACTAAATTTCTTTCAAATTGCGTCCAGGAGATAGGACATGTCTAGACCATGGGTCTCCAACCTTTTCAGTCAAGAGCCGTATTGAAATGAGCAACTACCCTCAGGGGCTGGAGGCACTTAAAAAAAAAAAATCCGAATTTTCTCTACTTTTCAAAATTCCCTAAGGCTGTTCTGACGTCGAAGGCTGTCCGGATTCGACCCACGGGCCGTAGGTTGCGGACCCCTGCTCCAACGGTTTCGCATCAATTATAAATGTCGTTCACCGTGCATGGTTCAACACTTGCACGCCACGTGTTCGTAGTGAACGGAATTTTTTTTATATGTCATTGTCCTGGGCGTACGAGCCTCGTTTCGAGGCAGTAGTCCTTCACCCGTGGTCCAGACAGCCTGCATATGAAGTGTCGCGATTTGAGTGCTGCGCATCTTCGGTTTTTGTTTTCTTCTTTTGTGTGTGGCTTTCCGTGCGTGCAATTTTGCCTCCGTCGAGCAATGGCTCGTTTGGCCGAGGAAGATACCGGTTGCGGCGAAAAACCACGGGCTAAGGCCTGCGTTTCCATATTTCAGCCAACGTTGCAGCATGGGTAGGTAAGTACAAAATTCAATTCGAAAAATTGTCTTTTTTGTTTTAACCAAAGGAGAATGACGTGGGAAATCTGCTTGACAATAGAATTCCGGTTGAAGCCTAGGACCCGTTACACAAAGCTTTTTTGACACGGAAATGGTTGTCCTTATTATGACACACTTGAAATGTGCCAAAAGGTGTGTCGAATATTATAATGTGAAAACAAAGTGTGTCCAAACGACCATGCGAGTACAATGGACCATACGAACATGTGTCACTTCGGCACCAAAAGTTTTGCGTGCAGCAGCTCATCATCTATTTCGAGTGGAACGTTAGTTGACCTCAGGTTATAACCTGATGTCAACCAACGACAGTCAGGTAATCTGCGCAGCAATGCCGAAATAATGCAGTTCACACAGAGACCTTTTGACACATAACGTACGTGTCGGAAATTCGAAACACCTTTTGGCACATCCCAAGTGTGTCATAATAGGGACAAAAATGTTTTGTGTATACACAAAAACACAAAACTTTTTTGCTCCGAGCCGATCCAAATCTATAGATTTGGATCGGTTGCGCGTGCTCGGAGAGTTATATAATATCCCATCGAGGATGACCCTTGCATCACTCCCTTCGTTTGCCTCCTCGAGCCTATCCGAGTCAAATCTATGCAGAGCCCCATCGTTATTATTCTTCGTCTCAGGTGTTTGCTGAGGTTCAATATCTCTTCTTTCCTTGGTACAGCTTTTTAATATCCCTTCTTCTCTAAGATCTGCTGGGATATCGCCTCGTCTCACTGTCCTCGTTTCAATTTTCTAAATTCTTTTGGAAGTCCCTTCGGCAGTACGATAAAAAAAAAATCTACCAAGAACTGTCCATCACCAAATGTGACGAAATTTTTCAATTTTACTTTTCTAATGTCTGTCACCCCTTGCGAAAAGGAAGAACAGCGCATTACAATTAGGGATGCCTCGGATCGGAAACTTTTTCAACACCCCTCGTACTTTTCGACCTATATTTTGAAACGATCTTGTGATGGCGGAAATGGAGCTTACCAGAAAGAATAAGTGCGGAAGGGGATGGGTGTCAGCAGTTGAAATGGTTTTGGCTCGAAGGGATGGCATCCGCGAAGTGAGCATGGGGATCCGTCAGATCCCTCAGACTGGACGTCTTTGTCACCTCGTTTCGAGTCACGAAGGTCACGATGGGTGGAGATCCTCTCGGATCTGCCGTATACGACATACAGCTCTCCGATTCTGCTCCGTTCCGAATGAATAAATAACGAATCGAGTGAAAGTCACTGTCGGCTGAACAGAGAACATCAACGGAAGAGAGAGAATGAGAGAGGAAAACCCTGGTCGGAGTCTTTGTCTTTATCGTTGCCGTGGAGGCGATTGAAGTTGTCCAGTTCCTTCATAGAGCATAGGGGAGTGTCGACCTCGTAAGTGCTGTTAAACTGACTGTAATCCACTGCATATGCACCCACCTCCTTGTTGAACGATACCAACGGCTCGAACCTAGAGTCCAAAGGGGGAAAAATTATAAACTCTGTCTATCCAGAGCGGTTCTCCCAGAGTTCCCAGTAGTACGAAGTGTGTGCGGTATCTGAACCTGTGTACTAAGTACAAGGGATGTTCATGAAGTCCTTAGCCCAAGGTACTTCCAATTTAAATCACCGTTTTTCCTTTTCACAGATTGTAACTGAACATTTTTTGGATTTTCGTGTGACTGTGCTGTCGAAGGAGCTTATGCAAAAGTATCGCAGGCAGTGACAAGGGCGGATATCAATTTTCAAGAAATATCGAAGCAGATCTTCTGATCAAGCAGATCTGGTATCTGTATCAATATCTGAAGCAAATCTGGTAGAAGGGACAGGAGGGATGACAGAGGACTGCCACCTCGGTCACTCGAATGACCCTCAAGGCCGATCGAAATTCGTTACGACTGGGCTCTCTGGAAGAGACTTGCTGTAATCCAAAAATATGTTGGAATGAAGAGATTTCGATCTGTCCTTTTTAACAGTGCTGCAGTAAGTTTGGTGAATGAGTTCGGTATCGTCCTTTCCAGACGATTGTGGGTACGTCAAGTTACCGCGGTGTATCGGTCCCTGCAGCGAAGAGAGCAGTGGACAGTCTCACTCGGTGCAGAAACCTCAGTTCTCTCGCTATAAAAAGGGAAGCAGCCTACGAGGTCCTTGAGACACCTGAAGGGGGAAAGCTCTGAAACTCTCTCAGCACTTTTAGCTAACCCCCCCTCCCCTTGCTCTGGAAAATTCTGACGCTTCTTTGTCCGCGTCCATGTCTTTCTATTCACACTGCATGCGATTTTATTATTTTAAACACCCAATCCACTTGTGAAACTCCCAAAATATGGGTACAGTGAGCCCTTGCCATACTACAACACTCGATAGAGCCCCAAAATCGACAATGAACCAACAGTGGCGTCATCTCGAGGGTTGACTGTAGTTTTCCTGAAATTTCAGTATACGATTGAATGCACAAAGACTTTTCGTGCAATGCCGATCGGTCAACTGATAGAGCTACTCCCCGTTTGGGCGGTAGCAAACATTTGGAAAGCCGGCGAGTAGTTGGCGCTTTGCGCCGCCATACTTTGGGGTCGAAATCGATATGGTCGTGCCTACTTTTTTTCGAGAACTGGAAATAGTCCGAAGTACATTCGAAAGGCTATGCACGCAGACGCATGTGAGTTCTTCAAGGATTTGGTTCAGACCCCTGTATCCTTCCAGACGAAATGCCTTCGAATTCCCCAAAAGCAAGCAATTAAAAGTGGCGACAGTTTTGAGAGTTTTCGTGTCGGCAGCTTCCGACCGCCCAACTTGCGGGGTTGCCGCGCAACAACAGAACAGCCAATTTTAGTGCTAAAACAATATTTGAAACCATCAGATGCCACAGTTCCTGTCGAGGGTGTTAATTTATTGACCAGACATCTGGCGCATTTAAGAAATATTTAGGGGTCTGACTATCTTTTACTCGCGGACTGGGTGTTAATACAATCGGAAAAAGAGTGTCATTGATGCTCTATGGTCTCCGTTTATTTACCCTTCATCCATTCGCGTTGCAATCATTGCGTTGCATTCATTCAGGGTGGGGTAAAAAAATAAATAAATTGACTGGGCTAGTACATGGATTTAATATCTGGGTGTGTCAACAACCTACCGAAACAGAGGAAGCAGTAACTTTAGAAATAGACGCCCTTTCCGCTGTTACAGACTTGCAATGACGAAGAATGGGTTATGATTACGTCATATTGATTCCGATGCATAAACGCAATTGGGATTTGTCATTTCTTCCATATCAATACCAAGTCTACACTTTATTTCGTCCCTCCCCGTACGAAAATGTAGCGTGCATTACACGAGTGGGGTGAAAGAGAGTGGCGATGAAACTCTGTATACGACGTGTACTGACTGTGTGTACTGACGTTGACTGCCATCCGCTGTCAAGCATAACCGGAATATTCATCTGTATTTCGTGATCTAACAGGATCTCGCCTCAATCACGTGATGTGAAGCATGCGCGGCAAGTAGAACCAATTTATCAATACCTCTCTGTTCGATCTTGTTACTACGTTGTGTCGAGGGAGAGGCGCTTCAGAGACGTATGTGACGAATGTAATGCCTTCGCCTTTCTGCACCCTCCTCTTATTGTAGCTTGTGCTCAGAGTAACGTCCTAATTTACGTTGCTTTTCCACGTTACACGCTAGAAGACGAGTAATTTTCTAAGGCTACGAGCTTGAACGGAAAAAGCCTTAACTCTTAAGGGGAATGAGCCCCCTGAGCCTCTTTTTTTTCCTAATTTTTTTTTACGAATCACTGAGAGATCTCACCGAGGCCTCTCGGTAAGACAGTGCTATCACTAGGCGCACCGAGCAGGGGTAGATCATTTTTGGAATGGATTAATCTTTAGGGTGGGTCATCCGTGAATCGGCCCCAACTCGATGAATAAGGTCCACGAGAGGGTTCGCGGAAGGGAAGGTAATGGGCTGAGGATCTTTCCCCGCCCCCCTTTCCTTCTTCCCATGTGTGTACTGTAGGCCTACATGCATGTTCGCCTTGGGTCAAGGGAGCAGAAGAGAGTGAAGAAAAGAGACAGACCTGTGACCCCAAAGTATCTCGTTCGGGAGATAGGATGACCTGGCCTGGGTAGTCATCCCCGTAGACTCGATGACCCCTTCCAAGATGACCACCAGTTCGAACCTTTCTCGAAGGAGGTCGGAAGCAGAAAGTTTATAGAGTGGACTATTCTCGTCGATCGTGTGCGTGATCGTCATAGGCCAGATGAAAAAAAGCCGATCCTCGCCTACGTCGTAGCCCACGTTCAGTTCGTATTGCTGAAAGGGGATCACCTCGCCCTCCCGCGTGACCCTTCGTCGAATGAGCTGAGCTCTTACATGAGCTTCGATGATGTGAGACCGCCTCATATCTCCGACCCGTACCATGAGTATGAGTTTTCCATCCCGTTGACAGATGACGGCATTTCGGGAGAAAAGCAACGTCTGGGTCCGTTTTTTCGGTCGGCTAAGTTTGGCGAACACGATCCCGACCATGAAGGCCTGAATCATGACTCCGGCGATGCTCTGCATGCACATGATGAATATGGCCTCGGGGCATCGTTCCGTGGTGTATCGAAACCCATAGCCGATGGTGTGCTGGGTCTCCACGCTGAAGAGAAAGCAGGAAGTGAAGCTGTAGATCTGGACGATGCAGGGAGTCCACTCAGAAGCCTCCTGTAGAGGGGGGAGATGATGAGGTTCCAGGTCCCCGTGGGTGAACGCAATGAGGTACCAGATGCAGGCGAAGAGCAACCAGGAAAGGAGGAAGGAGCAAGAGAAGACGAGAAGAGTCCATCGCCATTGGGCATCCACCAGCGTCGTGAAGATGTCGGCTAGGAAGCGGGTTCTTCTCTTGGACAGATTCTCCTGCACCACGTTGCAGTCCCCGTTCTTCAAGATCACTCGCTTCCTCATTCGCTTCGTGCTGAAACGGCTCCCTCGCCTCAAGCTGGACAAAAAATTTCGTGTACAAAGGGGGAATGAAAAGATGAAGATAAAATTACCGTGAGTTGCCTTCAACGAAAAGGAATAAAAAGGAAGCAATGTTGTGCGACTGCAGTAGAGAGATTTCCCGGAAGTACTCTGAGAAACAACAATTGGACAAGTCCAATCCAGTACTTGGTCTTCTTGAACTAAGGAGGGTAAGGGAAAGCGGAAGAAGGAGGGAGGGTGGAGGGTAGTGCGAAGCATTGAAGGAAGTGGGAGAAGTGTTCTGCATTTGTCCCAAATTGGAGACTTCTTCCATCGCTCGCGTTAATGTGTCACAAAACTGGAAGCCTACCTGTCAGACCCCATCGTTCACTTTTGTAATGACGAATGGGACATACCCTCAGCTGCAGGGATGCCAGATGAGTGACGGCTATCACTGCGGTTGAGGGAGGCGGACATCCATTTAAAACGAGTATCCGAAAGAAAACAGGAAAGCACCTGGCCAAATAGCAAGTATTCTGTCAGTTTTCCATGGCATGGACTGCGAGGTCATACACCTTAATTAGGCCTTGGTTTTTAGCGACTTGATAGTAACGCATGAAAGCATAAGCGTAGCGTAGATGGAAAAAGTGTGTGTTTGGGGGAGGGGGGGGGGGCAACCACGAGAACCTTGGGACACTATTCTCATGCATTTCATGCGTCTCTTCCTTCCCTCAAAGCTGACTGCTTTGATGCATCGGAGATGCGTTCTTTCCCTTCTCAGATGGGGGGCATGCCCTGCTGAGCAAACTTCAATCGCGGTGGCGGAGCACTTATATTTACGCAACGTATATTAACAGTACGTATATTTACGCAGCACTGCGCAATGAAATCATTCTTCCCGCTGACGTAGCCTTTCTTAAAACTTAAAGCTTGAAATGGTTTCTACACTTAGAAAAGAGCGATCGATTTCCGAGAAAAGGTGCAAAACTGCAGTTAGCGATTTTACTCCCTAAAAACGAGGTACAATCGATAACTACTCCTTTATGTGAACAGATAACTTTTTTAAGAGGGCGAAACGAAGGAGGGAGAGTACTTTTTAAACTAGTAGAAAAAGTTAGTGTTTATTTTCAGGAAAGAGAGAAGCGGGCGACATTACTTTCTTGTTTTCAGGGAGTAAAATTGCTAACTCCAGTTTCGCTCCCTTTCTCGGAAATCGCTCACTCTTTTCTAAGAGTGCACTTAGAAGTCTCTGGTGATAAGGTCGTAGACACTCGGCGAGCGACATTCCCAATTAGACTGGATCGCAGCATTAAATGGGTTTCTAATTGAGGAAATAATTTTTTTTTTATGCCATCCAACGCAAATCAGACCTCGAAGCACCATCTGCACTACTCTCTTAGAAAAAGGCTAGCGTTAATTCCAGTTTTCCTCTATATTTGCTCCTTTTTCCTCCATTTTTTTGGCAGAGCAAAGCGAAATTTTAAATAATTTTCCTATCTTTTCTTTCTTCTCAAGAGTAAAAGGCGGGAAAGGAGGGACGCTGGGATCAGCGCTCGCTTGTTTTTAAGGGTGTAGCCTTTTCAAGTGAATGGCATTGCAGTCCACAGTGGGACTCCTCAAAAGAAGACAGGCTACCTATAATCCCTTTCTGTCTGCGTGTCTGTCGGTTTCCTCCTTCATTGAACAGCAAATTATAGAATGTTAACATGGTCGCAGTAAAAGTCGGTATTCAAGTAGAACCGGTCGAGAAACAATTTAAATTGGTTGGTGTTCAGCAAAAATTCGTGCCAGAAGAAAGGGTGAGTTCTCGTAATCCACTTTCTCCCCAGTGAAATCATTGCTTCCACTTTCGCCCCATTGAAATCTCGCCCTCGCATTCCGATTGACTAGAATCACAAGATGTGATTTAGGGTGACATGCACCGGATCCGTTTAAACTAAACTAATCTGATCTCACAATGGTTCCCTATGGGAATCAGTTTAACAGAGATAAACTTTACGAATCAGTTTAAAGTTAAACGGATCTGGTGCATGTCACCCATAATCGTTGACCTACACACGGTTGGGGGGAAAGTGCACAGGGATGACTTTCCACGCCTCATTTTCATTTATGACACCCATATCTGGCTCAACCTTAAAAAGGGGAGGCAAGGTCAACTCCCAGTTTCACTATCCCCGCCTGCGTAAGACGGATACTGATACGTGCCCAGAAGTGCCACTTAAACAATTTTTGAACTCTTAGTTTTGATTTAGAAGGAAGAATCGCACGCGAAATCGCGGCTGGTCTTGCTGGAGACTGGGGGTGCCAGAATAAGGAAGAAAAAGAAATGCAGGGACTGGGAGGCTCGGATTCACCGTCTCCGGAATCTATCTACAGTATTTCGGACAAACAAAATTGACCTGAAAAAATGACACAATCCTGCATTATGTGGTGTTATTTGGGCAGATCATCTGCTCCTTCAGGAGCAGTTCGTTCAGCTGCAATTTTTTTCTCAGCCGTATGACCTAATTTGTGTTTTTTATGCCATCATCTTTTGACTTCTTCATAAGATTCTTCATCAGAACAATGATTTTTGAATCCACGAGAGACTAAAGTTTCTATCCACTCCAAGTCATTTTCTGTATCCATCTTACACTGAGTGGAAAAGTGAAACTGGGAGTTAACCCTACCTCCCTTTTTTAAAGGGTTGAGGCAGACGTGATTATCAGTCACGAAATCAATGTTAGGAAAGTCGCCCCTGTACATTCTCGCCCCCGTTCATCGAGATGAGATAAAAGGGAAATTTTAGCAACTATCTTTCAATTAAGTCTCGGAGGCGAAAGTGGAAGACACCATCCCTTTCAATTGCTCATGGGATTTTAGTCCCATTACCTAAAAGAGAGCCTCTGGAGAGTTTTTTTTTATCGAAAATATTAGTATGTAAAACTTTCTTAGCTCTACAGAAATATCCAGCCTTCCTCGTTCTGATGTGCGTGCGCAGCCCTAAACCTCGGCCTGTATGGCCGAGGAAAGGGAGCATGTTAAATGCAGGACCACTGGGCCAAATTTGCAGAAGGCAAACGGCCCATATAAAACAACTAAAAACGCGGGACCTCCGCACGGGTACGTCATGATGGGTGAATATGCCTCTCGACGTCCTTATCCGATCCTTCAACCTTGAACTTTCCCTTTTAGCCTTTCTAGCTGACGTATCCATCGTCGACATACGGATAGGAAGGCTCCACATCACAGAGTTTAAAATCGAAATCGTGCTTGTTATGGATCGCGTTTGACTTTCGTGGTCGTCGACGAGATGGGCCAACGAGTGGCAAGCAACCTGCTACGAAAGGTCCATCATTGTTGTCGAGATAAAGGGTGTTCAAAAAGAAATGCAACCCATTGGGGAATGCATGTTTATTAGTAAATAACTTCGATTCCTAATGTAACTTTCGACAATGAATATTCTTTTCTTTCTTGAACTGTGAACACCATTCTTGAACTTAATGATCACAAACAGAAAGAAAAGCTATGAGTTACAATGATATATGCCTTATCCAATGGGTTGCGTTTCTTTTTGAACACCCTATATCATCAGAAAGGCCGAGGTGATGTAACCCACGCATATCCGATACATAGATTTGGGCATACGATACATCTGCATGGGATGGAGAGCGGATGGAGGTTAGTGCGAGGTCACGGGGGGAAGCGGGAGCTCATGCGTTGCGCAACATGCCGCCCTCCCTTTTCGGCAGATCGTTTTGCTAATTCTGAATGAAGAGACTGCGTGCCAAACTACATCAAGCAATAACACCTTGCGCTATGAATCCGTATGTCGAAGGAATTTGCCCAAAACTGTGGTTTTTGCCTCGAAACCGAATTTATCGCGACGTATTCTGAACTAAAAAAAATGCAGTTCTTGCTTAAATATGGAGAACCTGTGAGAAGACATAGGTGCCTATATGTGAATCCTCCCGGATTCCCCCCCCCCCCCCCCTCCCCCCAAAGGTCCAGGTCTTAGATTGGTGCCAGGAAACCAGAAAGCATTTCTACGATTTCTACCCATTTCGACGCCCGAGTCTCCATCGAACACCCACCACAATCCCCTCTATAGAAAAAGGTTTTTGTGGGGGCGTCTCGATCACTTCTGTAGTTGCTTATACATGTATTTTCCCCTTTTTTTGTCCATGAAAGCCCAGCCAGTTCTTGAACCGGGGCCATTTAAAATTCCTTTTATTTGCAGGCCTCCAAAATGGAAGGCAATACCATAAATCGGGACCGTATCGATACTTCCTTTCGACAAAAAAAAAATGACGGGCGAAGTCTTATTCGCGATGGAAATGTAGGAGGAAGACCGAAAATCCCTTAACGCTTAGCTAGTTTCGCTTGCAAATTTCGATATAGTCGAATTCGGCTTTAACGGCCTCGGTTATAACGAGACTTCGTTAATAGCGACAAAAGATGCCTGGTTCCGGCCTAAGCCCATAATGGGTCTCGCCTATAACGAGCTCGGTTATTGCGAGAACCTCGGTGTAGCTAATACGGACGAGCCATCTGACTCGGTTACGAGCCAGAAAAACGAACAAGGTTTGTTCTTACTTAGAACCAGAACGAGTGATAGCTCGAGTGAAAGTAATAGTAATAGTCTAATAATTAATTAGCAATAACAATAACCTAAATAGCTGATGGAGTGAGTCACTCCTTGATGCCTGTGAAATGAGTCGGCAGTATTTTTCATGTAGTACTCGATATTTTTTCCGCGGACAACTTAAGGGAAGATATTGTGATTCCTCGATGCATCCGTTGAAACAGACCAGCCTATGCAAATCCCTGGCAGTTTCGGAGAAAGGATGGTTTAACTGGGATTCGACTCCATGGGCTGAGGATAAGTGCCTTTGTCATACTTTAATCGTGGAGCCTGTATTGGCTTCTTTACGGTACGAAGATTCGAGCGTGGTAAGATCACCTAATTCGTCTCATCTGACGCGCACTTTTAGATCGGGAAAAGAACCAGATGTTTTTGATAAAAGAAATTACTTAACTTGGAAATTACTTAGAAATGATAAACTTTTTTAACCTCCTGCAGGAAGTGAAAGCCTCCTTTGGAGGCAATCGAGGGAAGGTAGTGTATGCTGGAGTACTTCTAGCCGGAGTAAGAGACTCGGCGGCAAGGGGGTTCCCAGCAGGGAAACGGTAAGAGTACGTACACCTAAGTTTGGGACGAGCCTACGAGGGCTCCACGTCGGGAAGGCACCCGAGACACACATCGCACGTGGGCGTCCGACGAGGACCCGACTCGGGCGGTCGATCGTGGCCCGACGGATTCCAACACCGTCGGTTCCTCGACCTGGAGTGGGTGGGACCTGGGACCTGAGATCTGGGACATCGGTAGGAAATTAAGGGACGTTGCAACACGCGTGGGTGGTCTCGTGAAATTTGAACGAAATCGGTCGTTCGGCGGAGCTTTCCTGCGCGATATCGAACGAGCGAGTGCGTCCGGCTGCGCCCGTCCGCTCGGCTGGACCGGACCGAGGCGAGTCCGAAGCAACCAGACATCCTCGCTCTTTCCCCATCGCCTGGCAGAATGCTCTGGGTTGGATTCCGAGGCACCGATTTCACTTCAATTTTGAAGAAGACGCGACGAGACCACGCACGCTCGGGCGTGAAAATTTCCTGCCGGTATCTCGTACGATATTCCGTCTGCAGCCGTACGAAGTTTGGAATTTTTTTTGCCCCCCGGGAATATTCACCTATAGGCACCTAAATATTCCCTCTGACTGTCGATACTCGAACGAGAATGGTATTTTTGAGTTCGGCAAAAGCCACTCGTCCGAATTTTTTTTCTTCAATTTTTGAGGTGAAAGCCTCAAAAATACCGGTGACTCCTTTCCGAGCGATCCATCGATATTTTTCGGTCATCGTCGAAAGAAAGAGGTTCCATGACAGATGCAGAGAACGAGATCACGATTCCGACCCTCTTCATCGGAAACCGATGCGACCCGATTCGGAGCGAGTTCGATCGTATCGAAACTACGAGAGCGAAAAATGTCCTCACTCGATCCCGTAAAGTTCCATCATGTGTCTCTGACGAGCGGCATCGGACTTCCTCCGGCTCCGAGGGAATTCGTCCGACACGAAATTCTTAACGGCGGACACGAAATCTCGCTGCTGGCTCTGCGCGGATTTCCACCGCGATTCCGTGGTGTCGTCGTCGGACATCCCCGGCCTTTTCTCGCTCTCTTCCGTCTTGGAAGCGACCGATCCCGTCGACGCTTCCGTGTCCGTTTTCCCTTCCATTCGCTCCGGCCGAGGGATCTACACGTCAAGGAGATTCGAGATGCACGCGGATCATCCTCGTTTACGCATTCCTCTGACGCCTCTGCAACGTACTCGATCGAATGCCGTTATTTTCTTTCACGGTGGACTAACGACCGTCGAGATTCCGTAGCCGAAACGGCATGCAGAGAAAAAAAACCCGCTAATATATGTTAGTGCCAAAGTCCCCCGTAGCCTGTCGTCGCGGTACCGAACAGATTGAATAGATCGATACGGGGAAGCGCACGGATTGCTCCAGAACCGCTGATGCAACGAGCACGAAAGAGTCCTCTCGTAGAAATAATGATGGTGCGTGAGGCCGAATGCGTGACTAATATTAAAGTTGCAGTGAGGAAATCATCCCACAACCATCCCGAAGAGAAACTCGGTTACGGTATTCGAGACCGCAGAATTAAGTTCAGGCGAATTTTCAACTTTCCCGAGGTCGATTTGATTGCATATTTCCTGGTCGGAGACGAATGGTAGGTCGGATGCGAAAGAATTTCATCCCTGGGAAAAGACTTTAATTTTCACCTACGACTCATTATACCGTCTAAAAGTCTGTAATTCTGAGCTCGCTTGGCGTCGTCGGAATCGACGTGTTCATTCCAGGTTCTAAAAATAAAGACTCCTCGCGCTTCCATTGCTCAGGGTTCCGGAGCTCCAGAGTTTCTTTTGTCTGAGCGATGGAAAGAAAACAAAAGGATCGAACTGGGGTTTGGCAATGGTCACTCGGGCGAGAAACTCGCAGCACTGGCACCGGAGGTATCGCTAGGGTATGCAGGAGAAGGAGCATACCGAACACTGAAGTCGATCCGGTCGGCGCGCAGACTCGCTCTCTCGTTCGCGTTGTTTATAGGCGAGATGAAACTGGATCCTCTCCTCGATCTTTCCTTGCGGACGTGTCACGCAGAAAGCCAGCGTTACCACCGACGTGGGCTTTTCACCCCCCCCCCCCTTCAAGGTCATCCTGCACGTCTCTCTCTCCCTCCCTCCTCGATCTAGTCCTCGTGAACTCCCCACGCGAAGGGGAAGGAATGCGCTTCGAGCATCACGCCATCTCGTTCACTTACGCTCGATGGCATTCTAGGTCACGCTTCGCTCTCCCGCCCTTTGGAGTCCATTCTCATCGACGTCCGTAGTACCCCGCAATTCACGACTCCTCGTTTCGCGTCTGTTAAACCCGTCCAGTCGAGATGAAACTTTGGCCACGATCAGGTTTCCCGATTTATTCGGTTAGTCTGTTACAGAAGAAATAAGACCTCGAGTAACAGGTCGGACTTGATGTCAGAGTGGTTCCCGAAAATGAACTAAAACTCGCCAGACGACTGAATTTTGAATGCCAAACTGATTCGAAAGATGCTTTCATAAATGCAACTGGAACTCCAAGCCTCTCTCGCTGCTGAAGCTATAACTGGAAATTGCTTCTCCTACTGGATGGACCGGGGAAAGTGACAGGAGTTATTCGAGAAGGAAGTAGTGACTAGTGAAGTAGTGCGAACAGTAGTGGCTAGAAGTAGTGGCTCCTTCCTCCGATCTCTATCGGTAATCTTTTCGTTCCTTTACTGATGCTTTAAGTTGACTAAAACCGAAACTCCGCCCCACAGCTGAAACTGATACTCAGATTTAGTCAACACTGAAACGGAAATAAGCATTAGGTTTTGAAAACTGAATCTGAAGCCAAAACTGTTTCTGTTTTTCTTCTTTTTCTGTTTCAAAACTGTTTTCTGTTTTTAAAACAGAAAATGAGATCATGCAGCCTCTATTAAAACCACTCAGCTTGCCACGTGGAAAACTCGTGAGAGTGAGAGAGAGGTGCACCAACCTTGCCTTGGACGAGGTCGGCTCACTTTTAAAGAGGGGAGTAAAGGGTCGGATAGGTGTTTCATGGGGTTCCACGTGCCCCGTCATGACTTGCTCGTTTCACACGACAGGATCATGCACCGCTTCTTCGAAGGGCATTCGCGATGCAGGACCTCGAAGGGCAACGCCGGACCGCTAACGGCCTCGTATAAATTGTCGGCGTTTGCAAAGAGGCCAGAGTGATGTGTGCGTGCACTGGAAGAGGGACGATTCAGACGGGACGTGTCCCGTCTGCATCGTCCCTCGGATGTAACAGCGGTAGCTCGTAAGAGGAGATGAATCATGCCTGACCTGACCTGTTTCCATCCGTGAGGTGCTACTACTACATCCGACGAGCCGCCACCGGTTGAACCTGCCAGCAGGGATTCGACTCGCCCCAAATCTGTCGTCGCCCTTTTTTAGTGGGCCTCCTTTCCTTTCAGGAAAGAGACCACTTATAGTCCCGCCCCGTCCGTCCGTGTGTCCGTGTGTCACACTTTGGTTGTCCGACGTTAACTAAAAAAATATCGGTCTGATCAATGCGAAAATTGGCAAGCGAGTGGATATAAACAAGATACAGGCCGAGTTCGTTTTGTTGTGAATTACCACCAAAATTGGCATGTTTATTGCAAATTTTGGATTTGAAATTTGGTCACGGAGGGGAAGGCATGAGTACCTGTGAACCCTTTAGGATGTAGGTCACAATGCACATGCGCGTACAGCCCCGGCTTTGGGCGTGGCGCCTTGTCAGCAACCAGAGCTGTCAGTTCCCTACCAACCTTCGTGGCAGAGTCGTCAGACCGACGCTATCGCGATATCGAAGTGCAAGTAAGGGAACCCAAAGCAAAAGCGACGTAGACTGGGCTAGACTGATTCGTTTTGTGGGCACCCCTTGAAGTGAAAGCGATTGTTCCAGACAGTCGGTCGGATTTTTGTATAACTTAATTTCTTTGATCAGGTGCAGTAGCAGAAATGGGATGTGTTAGTGGAGCACGGGCCCTCGAGTAGTTGAACGTTAATATTAATTCGGGTCACTACAAGGTCACTGCAAAACGGAAAATTATGTTAGAAAAGCGGAACGTCGAAGTGCAGCTGCAGACCCATGCTTAGAATAATCCCAAGACCTTATCGATATGCCAGCGGTAGGAGTCCACATTAAATCGGGTTTTTGGAGGAGAGAAAGAGCGAGTTAGTTGCGCATAACAGAGGGATGACCGAGGTTGCTGTTTTGACAGAGGTTTTACTACTAGAAGCCCATGTACAAAATGTAATAAATATTGCTCGATTCTTTGATGGCACAGTTTCAACGTGGGACAGTGGATTTATTTGTTTCCGTATCTATGAATGAATCCGATTTAGTTATTTATCGAATGCCTATGTGAACGAGTGAAGAGGGGTGGATGGTGGGTGAGACGAGGAAGTGCTTGTTAAGCCATGCAAAGGCTCCAGGGCCAGCAGCTTAAATGTTGCAGAGGCCACCATCCAGTCTAGTCAGAGGGCAGTCATCAACGATGCATGATTTCATTTGATGCTGGCAGCACTCGCACGGCGGGCTATCGCGCAGGCCTCATTAGGGGTTCGTAGCCACACAACGCCAAAGACCGGACTTGAAGCGATGGAGAATGGCTCTCACTCTCTTCGGTAGGTTGAGCCCAGGTAACTTGATGGAAGGTCGCCGATTAGATGATGATTCGTCACCGCCGTATTGGACCACTCCTCGCAGGGCCGTATCTAGGATTTCATTTCGGGGGGGGGGGCGTTCGGGACGTTATTGCAAGGTTTCATGGAGGAGTTGCATTCCCAAGAAGTCTATGAAATCGGTCTGGTTTACGGGTAAAATCATCAGATGTTCTTGCAGGCGGCGACTGCACATAGGACCGGCATCTGCGAATGCTATGAACCTGGCAGGGCCACAATCTAGAGATGCAATCGTTCAAGCGCAATAGAATGGAGGTGCAAAGAAGAAGGCAATATGGCAAGAAAAAACTGACCAATGTTACATTTTTAACAAAGGAGAAACAGACTAGAAAAATGAGATTTTATCAGTCAGCCGAGTAGAGTTTATACCAGTGACGTCATTGGCTCTCTCTCCCCACACCCCGCTGGGATGTAGCCCAACCTTTTCTACTCTTCTAACCTGGGACCGTTCTATCTCCCGTGCGCTTATACGTATCCCATTTCCCTGATATCCATGATACTTGATGAGTGCTTTGATTTTACCCGTAAACCAGACCGATTTCATAGACTTCTTGGGAATGCAACTCCTCCATGAAACCTTGCAATAACGTCCCGAACGCCCCCCATTGCTCCCCTACCGTCAGCCCACGGAACCGCACCTCCGAGTCGATGCCTGAAACGCATTCACGTAGTCTCAAAATTAGCTTTCTTTTAGTTGTACGAAACCTTCGTCGGTTTGGCGTTATTCTTCGTCCGCTTGATATTCCACGTAATCGCGCAGTGCCCCGAATCTCCCAAGTTATCCTGTACCTTAACGTCTAGTGCCAGATCGTCGTTCGTCGCGAAAACTAAATCCAATAAAACTTCCTTGCGAGTCGGTTCTTCTACGTGCCGAACGGGAAGAGCATCCTGAATCGTAACGAGATATTCCCTATCCATTTCGCTCCCCCCTCGCGGCACCGACCAATCGATGTTAGGCATCTTAAAATCTCCAAAGAGCAACACCTGCTTCGAGATCTCGCTGATCCTACGCATCAGTGCAAAATAAGCTGCTTCATCCTCACGAGAAGAGTTTGGGGTCCTAAAGCATATTTCTAGAACGATCTCTCCAGTTGCCCCACCGATCTTGCACCATAAGTGTTCGATTGCTCCACAGTTAGCCGAGGTGAGATCTCTGACGCGAACGCCCAGTTTGGTTCTAGCGTACAACACGACTCCTCCCCCCTTTCTATCGGACCTATCCTTCCGCAAGATGTCGCACCCTTCAATCTCGAATTTCTTATCTGAAATGTGAGAACCTCCCCAAGTCTCGGTTATTCCGATGACATCGAAACCGTTGTCCAGTGCCCTCTCCCCTGAGCTCGTCCATTTTATAACGTAAGCTGCGAACATTCGCGTAGAAACGCTTTACTTTTCCCTGCCTTTCCTGCATACCAGTACTCGGCGGTCTAAAGCTGCTCGCAGTGGCTGTCCCTTCCTCGTGATCCCTTGCCCCCCCCCCATCTAAAAGCCTAAAAAAGGCTCCATTTCCTACATGATAGCCAATCCAACTGCTCCAGCTCCCTCTTTCGAGAAATGTCACTCCGTCCCTAGCCATCGGACTTTTACAATGCCTCAGAGCTTCCCTAGTGTCCAGAAACACTGCCCTCTCCGCGATACACAATCCTTTAACCTGTCGTTAACCCCTTCCGACCTGGACCATGTGTTCTTCCCTTGTCTAGCCGGCTCGAGATCGCGCATATCGTCACTCGCAACCCCGACCCATTCCTCCTGACACGCCCTAATAGCCTGCCTCGGCCTACCCATGATGAGTTCAGAGCCCAACTTGGGAGAATCGTTGGTCCCAACGTGAAGGATGATGATGATGCCTGCCCCCCTCCATCCAGGAGTGGCATGCCACTGTTTGGTAGAGGGGTCAAAGGGAAATCACCCTCTACCCTCAGGGGAGAGGAAGACAGATGACATTTATTAGCTCCTTTGAAGATTAAAAGTGTAGCAAGGTTGGACCGGATAGACTGGTTCATGGGGTTCAACCCCCCCCCCCCCCCGAAATATCTTCCTTAAATTTTTGCCATACTGCTATTCGTTGGTGTAAACGGTGCAGTACTTGGTCTTTTCTATCTTTAATAGCTTATGACTTATTGAACACTGCAGCTTAAGGAAAATCCAGATATGTCACAAAGACTTACAATGACAAGTATTAAAAAATTGCCACAGCCCATACGCCAGACCTCAACCCCCCCCCCCCCCCCCCCCCCCCCCACCCCCCCCCCCCCCCCCCCCCCCCCCCCCCCTCCCCGAAATGAAATCCTAGATACGGCCCTGGTGCATTGCCTGTGATAGAAGGAAGAACGAAAATGGCGCAATTTCTTTCGCCGTTTATAGAACCGTTTATAGAGGCCGTTAACGCCTCTTCCCTTTAACAGTTCCAGAATCTGAAGAATCTGAAATCGATGAATGCGTAAATCAACCCACAATTTTTGTCGGTTGCAGTCGTGCGAAGAGGGTGATGATGCATCTACGAGTATGCGCAAGTGAGCTTTCCAATCGCAGAGGAGCGATATTTCTTCCGGCAAGCGTCGAGTAAGAGAAAGGCAGTGAGCTTCTTCCTTTCCTGGAGTTCGTTGATATATGATCTCTCGGCCCCGCTGGCATTAGATAGAAAGAGAAAGATGGAAAAGAAAAGGACAGTCTTAGCTGGATTACATCACGAAATTGTTATATTGGAATGCCGCTGGCCACACCGCCGGGATGGAAACGTGGGCTTTGTATTTAATTCCCGTTTCTTTCTCTATCAGTATTTTCTTCACCCCCAAAGAACCCTGACTGCCTGACACGATTCTCATGCTTGTCATAATGTATGCTAGCATCGCCTTTCACTATAGAGAGGGCGACGTGGAAGTCAGAGCCGCTTCCTGCGTTCCAGTCACCGAAGAGGTCATCGCCGCTATGGCTCACGGCTCGAGCCCGACCATCTCACTTCCTCCTGGCCCCACTCCGACTCTCGGGAGTGAACGTAATCGCTACCGCCTTCTTTCTGTGCCACTTTAGTTTTCCCTCTTCCATCATCGACAGTGCTACTCACGTCATCATTACGTTACGTCATGTGATGTTTCTTAACTGCTTAAAATTGACGTTTCCGATCTTCAGAGAGTTATAGGTACATGCCAGAGTGCTCTCTCATTTTTTTCCTATTCTCCTGAGTTATTGAGACATTGCGAATGGCTTTTATGTTAGTAGCATCCTAGCGTAGCGTCACGAGTCTTTGTGATAAGAAAGGAGATAGCTGTCTCCTGTTGCAGGTTTCAACCGATATGTAACAGAGGGTGATCGACAAAAAGATGGTTCTGTTGAGATCCGTCCACCAGGTGGTGCCTTCAAGAAAGTGCACGTAATAGTGATTCACCCAGTTTATCACCATGAAGGGGCGCAAGCTCCAGCCTTCCTTCCTTATGCCTTCGTTGGCCGGTGCCTGTGCTTGATGCATGCGCTTGGAGGCAGACCGTGGAACTTCTCTCCACTGACAGAGAGACCCCATGTGTGAAGGTGAATGTCTCTCCCTATGCTTAAAAGCCGTCCCATTTGAGATATCTTCCCCTCGATCTCAGCGTCATGGATCACGAAGAGTTGATACGAGAAATGCCGCAACTGGAAAAAGTCCCAGTGCAGGAGCGACTGAAATTGGCCCGAAAGAGAAGGGTCATGCAATTGGACAAGTGGAAGCAACGAGAAAGGGAATTCCAGAAGAAGGAGAAAGCCCGTATGAACGGAATGACTCGACGTTCCAGTCACAAGGTGCAGTTTCATCCGTGTGTTATGCTTCAAGAAGCCGCCGCCAGAGGCGATATCGACGAAGGTGAGTCTCATATTTCAGCGTTTTTACCCTGTCTTTGCCCGAGATGTTTTGTGCTGTTTGTTCCTAATCCTGTGTTGATCATGATTGACTGTTACTTTCACTATCGTCTATACCGGTTGCAAGCTGCATTCCCATGTTTGAGAAGTTCTGTCTGTGAAGTTGTCTGAGTTATGTCGGATACGTCCAAACTCATCCCACTTAACCCCCAAGATTATTAGCTTATCACCCTTCTGGTTATTGGATGCCAACTGGCGCTTGGGATTCCTTCCTGTAATTACAGGTCTAAGGAGTGTTTTTTTTTTCTTTCTCTCTTTATCGTGCGAATGGCAATCGATCCCGAACCGAAGTATATAAACCTCCTTCGACAGGAAAAGTCCTACTGGGTTGATTTCAATATTGTCAAAATGACAGTACTTGTCTTTTTCAGTCCGCTAGATTGAATTATGACCTTGTCGGATTTTACTCCGAGGCCTAAATTAAATGACTATAAATTGGAAAAAAAAGACTATCATGCTCATCCTCGTAAAAAAGGAGAATTAACGGATCAACACTAGTCTGTAATAAGCATGGGAACTCAATAAGAGGACCGAGCTCCTTATAATATGGTCCTATGAACCTCGTCATAATCAGGTGTGTTTGGATATGAGAAACAAAATGATCCATAGTTTCAATTGAAATAACGTTTCATATACCGTGAACAGCTAGTGAGCATGTTTTTAACGAAGAACGTTAGAGCGCGAAAATTTTTCTCCTTTTACCGGCGGAAAAGTTCTCCAGATGCGCAATTTGAACCGTCATATAGCCCTGAAGTCCCCTCGGTCGATTCGAGATTTTGCTGGAGATTGCAGATGGTAAACTGAGACTTTCCTTTCAGTATTTCTTAGAGGGGTATTCCAGAGGGACTATCCGGTGTCACAACTTAGGCCTAATCAAAACTTCTAATGATTCCACCTTCCTCAAATCGTGGGAATCAGATTTGTAACCAATGTCTTGATGCATGGTCGGAATATTGCGAGCGTATTCGCCCTCTATGAGACAGCGAATTTTCAGTAGAATGCAGTGGCCTTCATATTTTTTTTTATGGCAGTTTTCTCTCGTCCTTTTGATCTGCTGTGATCAAGACAGAGTTAGCTTCTCACGGTAGGCCCATCTGCTTGAGTATACGAAAGAATTATGGTTCCTTCCATTATCCCACTCGTGCAGTCAACGAACTCTGATCTCATCCGATTTGCATGAGTGATCGCGGTCCAGCTCAAGTTTGTCAGGTGGCATTATCCGCATTTGCGTGAATGAGATTGCGATGAATGGATGCGATCGGACGGAATAAATAAATAATTCTATCCACGGTTTTGGAGTAAATCCGTGCATATCCGTGCTCAAGGCTGTTTTCAGAAGAAAAAAAAAAACTTCTGACCCGGCCGATCTTGCCCGACCAAGCCAATCAGTCTCATCATCTTGAAGTGACAGGTCGACGATCCTTGGCCAAGGAAGAATCGTTTAGAGCTAATATCAGAGTTAATTGAGAGAGATTCTTCAGTTGGCATTCCTCCCACTACCATGTAATTGGTGATTGGCAGCTGCTATTTGCCCCTCATAGTGTTCTTATTACTCAGTAAGCTGCATCGGAAGATGATCCATCCCTCTTGAATCGTACGATAGTGTCCCGTATATGACGAGGAATGGCCAGTGAGAGAAGGCCCATTGTGAAGAGAAAAACGGGAGATGGCATGCCTCCAAGTATATGTGGAATTTCCATGGACCAGGAAAAGGAGAGGTTTGACAAGAATGAATCATCCTTGTTCGGCTTGAGAGAAGAGAACCTTATGGAGCTGTTGCGATGTTCATCTGGAACGATTTCCCACACCCCCTTTTTGCCTGTTTCCTTTTCACTGTTCCTGCTTCGTAATTCGAATGGAAATGGCGCAGTGAGACCCGCTGCCTTAGTGTCATGGGTCATTTCGCCTCACCCTGTTCCAGTAATCAGCTCCTCCAGGAGAGGGGAGATAAGAACGCGAAAACCACGGGGGGAAAAAAACAAAGGGACACAAAAGCGAAAGTCTGATGGTCTCGAAAATCTCCAAGGCGGAAAGGCTTCCTGTCTTCCATGGCACTGGGACGAGAATCATTAGAGTCTTCTGACCACTATTTTGAGGTATTGACTTGGAAGTGAGGGTGTCCAAAAGATATACCCCCTTCCCAGGGGGTGTAGGGATGTAGAAAGAAGGGGGTTTGAATGGAAGAGATGTGGATCTCTGAGCGTGACTGAGAGGTTTGAGAGCTCAGGACTAGTCGATGTGGAAACGGTCCAGGCAAGCAGCCATCCTGATTGAATTATCTTCCTGGGTATAGAAGCGGAAAAGTCTGATTGCGCTGCTTGATTGAAGGCTTCATGTTGACCGAGTTGGGTATTCCTCTCTAATGAGTTGTTGGGTTCCCTCTCTTGGCCCATACTGAACGAAGTCCTTCCTTTCTTCCTTCTTTCTCTCTTGCGCTTCCTCCGCTTTGCCCTCCGACCTCTCATCCTATTCCTACGTGACCTCATCACTGTAATTATATGTTATATTGATCCCATGTATCACATAACCTTAATTTCTTCCCCTGTTGAGAGGTCTGTCATCATGGCTTCTCTCCTATCACACGTTGTATTGCGAGACCATGACGGAACCGAATGGGTTTTTCGAGAGTCTTCGTTTCCTTTTCAATGTGGTAGTCATCTCATCTTTCTGTTCGAGTGAACAGGAATCGACTTGGGAACAGAGATATATTTGGTCAGGATTTGTAAGCTCATCACGGATGGCCGAGTATCTTCTCTCTGTGTATCCCTCTTGTTTCAACGTGTAATGACTGCAACGATTGCTTCTAAATCTCATGGAGTGCTAGTGTCGTTTACGAGGAAAGGGAAAAGAAGAGATTGGAGGATGTCTTCCATTTCTCGCTCCATTGCAGGAACTCTTCAGCTAGTTCCACATCATCTCATTTCCCTAATTGTTTTGCCGGAGAGATAATAGTAGCCCTGAGGAAATATATTTCATGTGCCTAAGAAAAGTTCTCCTTGCTCCTTTGGACACGAATGCCGCCTCCAAATTTTAGCCGGTGGCTGACTATAATAATTCTTAATGAATGGTGAGGACGTATGTACTGGCCAGGTCTTAATATGGTGGTCAAAAAATTACTTCCGCATTCTTGTCTGCGGCTGTTGTCTCATGTTGGGGAACTCCATGGTAATGTGGTTAACGCAAAACGCTGTGTTTTCTTCCCCTTCTTATGGACGAATTGGTGCTAATTCCTTACCCAACCAAGATCTCTATTGTTCGAGGCTTTTATAGAGGAACGTCTGCCCTCCCTGACGGTGATGTATAGTGCACTCTCTAGATTGCCTCCATGCTCAACCCCCCCCCCCCCCCCCCCCCCCCCCCCCTTTCCCCCCCCCCCCC